ATATCCAGACCAACATATGGATTTAGGCTGTCCTATTCAGTCAGACTGAACAGACAGATGAAAAATCACTAAGTATTTCAGATTGTAAAACCACTTTTTATCAACATGACATCTTGAATCATGACAGACTCACAAAACCACTCGAATGATAAAATCCACAGATAAAGCAACTTCCAGTCATCAGCAGTTTGAATTTCACAGGCAGGAAAGAAATACAAACAATTCTTTGAGGTTGTTTTAATAGTTACTGAACTGGAAGATATGGAACACTACAGAAATCACCTGGAACAATCAAAATCAGCAGAGCAGAACTGAAGGAATGCAACAGTTTGTCAGAGTTAATCCAAAGGGCTGAGTACCCACCACTTGGTCTGATGCTGGCCTCATCATGCGTGCCAGGACATTCAGCAGGTCCTGTCTCTTGAGAAACTGAAAACACAAGGTGGTAAACACAGAAAACAGCTGAGCAGACAACAGTAAAGAACTCCTTCCTAATATCTAACCTGAGTTTTCCCTGTGTGACCAATACAGCTCAAAAGCAGGCCCACTTTCTGCACTGGAGGAGTTTCTCAGGGCTTTGTTCCCTCAAGTCAGAACAAGAACTGTGGGACTGCTCCAGCCTAGGTCCAGGGCTTCGTATTTGTCTTTGCTGTTCTTCCCTGGAATTCCTGCTGGTCCATGTACCCCTCTAAGTGGCAAATGGGCTCTTCAGCCTACAGTTACCTCTGCTCACACTACACCTCTGGTTTTTATACTCTTCCTGCAAGCACTTGCTCTTTGGTGCCAACTTTAAGGGGCAGACTACAGGTCTGTACAGACCTTCAGATGACCAGTTTTTCCTCGTGTGTGTGTACTCAGAACTCTGTGTCTGAATGTGAGCACAACTGCCAAGCTGGGATTCCATGTTGCCCACTAGAACCTGACAACTGGTGACACGTAAACAACACCACAAACTCCCTCATTCTTACCTTTAATTGGACGAGCATTCCTTCACAGCACACCCTTCCAGAGCACCACAAGTTATATATGTGCTCATTTTCTTGATTTAGCTTCCCAGTGCTTGTAGCTTCTTTATTAGTGCCATCATCCCCTGAGGAAAACAGCAGTGAAAGAACCTCAATCTACACTCACAAATTGAGACACCACAGTTCAGCAGAAGGCTTACAGCTCACGATACCACAGTACAGAGAAGGATTCTCTACATCCTAAATGCCAGTCTAAACCCAGCTTTATTCAATACTAAAACCAGATCCTTGTCATTATGGAACTCACCAACGAGAGCAAAGTTACTTTCTAGCAGCTCCCTGTGAGTGTTGAACCAAGCATGAGCCAGGCGGTTGTTTTTGTTCTTCCCAATGATGTAGTTCATGATGTAAGCCAGGAGACCTGTTACCATCAGGATCTCCATGTAGTAACTCTCCCAGCTGTTTTGAAGGTGAGCAGGGACCTGTGTAAGGGAACAGAAGCTGTGATTTACATATTGAACAAGTGGATTTTATACACACAAAAATTTGGGAAACAGAGTAGTGAAGTTCCATCCCCTTGGTGGAGCAATAAGCTCCACCAAGGCAACAGGAGAGAGCTAAACCTACAAAAAGCACTTGGCTTATTGGGGCACAGTAATCATACAGGGAACAACTGATAACAGCATTCCCAAAATACCTGCTTAATAGGAAAAAAGTACTCACTTCCAAGTGAGCCTGGGCTACCACACATCCCTCAGAGTACAGTCCAGCACTTCAATTCACTGAGCATTTGAGCTTGATACCCTGCCCATCACAGCATTATCTGATCATCACGTAACTTCTTTGCAAATCCAAACACCCAATGCCCAGGAACATTCTCAGGATGCCAGCAAGAGCCACGGACTCCATGGACCAGCAGGGAAGCCTTCCTGACCTTGCCACCTCAGAGTCATAAAAGTGCCCAAATGTTAATTTTCACTGCCAAGGTCAGCTATAACACCTAAAAAGAGAACTCAGGGGTAATAGAAAGGCAGACCTTGAGCACCTGATCATTCTGTGAAAAACTATTTTGGGAGGCAAAAAGGTGATGCAGGGTGTGCAGAGAGCTTGGCTTCAAAAACCAACCAAGCTGACAAGTTCCAACCTGACACTTAAGCCACAGACAAGCTAAAAACACACTGGGTTCATTGTTTAGGACCCCAGAGACATTCCTGGCATACTGTCTTAAGAAAATAAGTGATGAAACTCCAAGCAGACACTGGATCAACAGTTATACCTACATTAACTATTGTTATGGGGTCTTTATTTTTGCTATGAGATGCATCTGGTTTCTCTTCATACCCTTCAAACTCCTCATCGTCGTATGGCTCACTCTCGGTGTCACCTTCCTAAAGGATAAAATCACAAACAGCATGAAAATCCAAAGCCCAGCAAGTGAAAGCCAAAAAGAGAAAGAAAGGTGCAGAGACACTATTAGAAAACACTGAGGAAGGAGACAAGGCCTTACCTGTGTGTCTGCATCATCAAAGTCTTCCTGATTTTCATCCTGACCTTCAAGCTCTACAGTGGCTTCTTCTTCATCATCTTCTGTAGTGATGATCCTCTGAGGAGATTCTGTGACTGTATCTTCACTCACATCTTCAAACTCAGCAAAGTCATTATCATCATATTCCATAATGTCATCTCCATCCTCAAATTCATCATACTTTGCCAAAGAAAAGCCCCATGGGATGAACAGGACAGCGATAAAAATATATAAATTCTTCATCTTAACTGGAAAAAAAATCAATCATTGCAAAAAGTCCTTAATTCTTCATTTTAACTGGGAAAAAAAAATCAATCATTGCAAAAAGTCCTTGTCAGTCCTGTTATATCACAGCTCCAGTAACCCCCAACCCACAGTGCACAATGTGAAAACACTGAGTCAGACCAGAGAGAGAAATAAACCCGTGCCTGATCTTGCTATCTTCTCTATAAAGAAAGTGACCACTGGTACAAGAACAAAATAGCTCTGAAGGAGAGGTTCTGGACTCTTGTTTGTGGCAGCAGCAAATTCACATCTGGCCACACTGTTGAGATGGAAAGCAGGGATGTTCTGCTACAAAACTGACCCTCCAACAGCATCTCCCAGCCAGCTCTGCCAGCTCACTTCCAAGACCACATTCTATATCTACAGTTGTTATTAATTAGCAGTTAGGCACAGCTGGAGCATTGAATGTGAAACAGCAGCAGTAAATCTTAAAATGCACTTGGTTCATTTAAACAGCAATGCTCTGATAGCCTCTGCTAGTCCAAAAGTGCTCGTCTGTGAATTTCTAGGCTGCACACTCAAAACTAAGTTCCCACAGTGTCCCCTCATGATTTCTGCATAGAGACAAAGACCTTTTGCTGGAAGTTGTGCCAAAAAAGGAAGAGGACAGATATACTCTCCAGAACAAAGGAGTAAACTGGGGCTTAGGAGCCCAGAGCTCTCCCCACATCAGCCAGAACCCTGCAGAGTTTGTCAGCTCCCCTTGTTTTGCCCTCAGCTTCCTGTCTCTTCTGCTTGAGTTCAAAACAGTCCCAACATCCCCTTCAGACTGGAGCACCTTCTCCAAGGTCCAAAAAAGGCAGCAACAACCCCGCAGCTGCACTTCCAGGCACAGAGGATCAGCTGCATCAGGCTCTGCTGCCAGGCTCATTTTACTCCTCCCGCAACCAGATCCGAGTGGGAACCTGAATGTTAATCAGAGTGTTCCCTCACAAACTTAGAATAGAAATGATTTGTTTCTAAATTTGACCAGCATTCCTCTGAGTGCCTCATGCAGGGAACCCACTGCTATGAATGACAAGGACGACTAAAATAAACACCTTTGTCAAACACTCCTCACTCCAGCAAAAACCCGCGCAGAACACGGGCACAGAACCTTAATCAGGATGGAAAGTTCAGCAAGGCCGAGCCCAGGAATTCGGAACATTGTGTGGGAGCGTCACAATTTTATGTGAATTGAAGCAGGAAAAAAACCCCCAAAATACAATTTCAATAGGACAGAATTTACACGCTGTAAAAAACAACAGGACAACAGAGCCACCTGCTCGACCAAACTCTAACATTTCACATTAAGAACTCCAAAACTATTTGAGCACATCCACCTTCAGAAGACCTGACAATTCCAAACAGCTTAACACAAAATAAACTTCTGCAGCCAATTTGAAGGATACAGTTGAACCACAGGTGGGTGAGAGCTGGGGTCAGCAATGTGTCAGAACGGCTTCCAAATTCAAGCTCCAGGAAGGAGAACATCCTCGGCAGGCCCTGCACGACCCGCTCGCCACCGGCTTTCCCTTGCCGGAGGAACCGATCCATTCTCCCATCTCCACACCGGCTGCCCTGACCCCACTGGCAAGAGAAACTCCTTCCAAAATCCCAAGGCAAGCCCTGCTGCTGCTGCCTGTGCAGGGCATTCACATTCGGTAGATCCCGAGCCCAGACCCGAGCTCGGTGCCACATTTTGGATTAGCGCCCGTCCCCAGCAGGTCGGGCCCTGACCGTGACCCCCGCCCCAAGCGGGGACACCACCCTCGGTGCTCCCAGCTCCTTCCCGGTACACGAGTCAAGGTGAACAAGATCAAAGCAGCGATCTGCCGCCCCGCGGGGCGCAGCACAGGCCGCGCACGCCCGGTGCCCTCCGCGCCGGGCTGCCGCTCCCGGGGACCCTGCCGGTGCGGAGCTCCGCGGAGGGGGCGAGCAGGGGAGGTGGGAGCGGGGTGTCCGGTGCGGCGGGGCCGCGGCAGCGTTACCTGAGTCACGGGCCCGGCGCCCGCCCTCAGCTCCGCTCCGCGCCCGCCGCACCGGCGCGCCTGCGCACTGCGGGCCCCGCCGCATGTGCGGGGGCGTGCGCTACACACGCGTGAGGGGGGGACAGGGGGCGAGCCCAGCCCAGCCCTGCGGGAACCACCCGAGAACCACCGGCAGAGCAGCGCGCTCCCGGTGCCGCCGCTGACCTCACCGTCTCTGGGCTCCGCTCCCGCCGCCCTCACTCCGCGCCGCTTCACCGGCGGGCGCTGCGCCTGCGCCGGGCCGCGCGTCACTGACGCACCGTGCGTGGGCACGTCGGTGCGTGCGTCCCCACCCCCCGGCCCGGTAACCGGGGAAGTGGCGGCGGCGGCGGCTGCGGTGAGTGCGGGGCGCTGAGGGAGCGGGCGGGCGGGGCCGGCCTGGGCACGGCGGCGGAGCCTCCCCCGCCGCCCTGCGGGGCCTATGGCTGGCGGCANCGCGCCCCGGTGCCTGCCGTGCCCTGCGGCGGGCGATCCCGGCGGGCTGGGGTCCCCGTGGAACGCGAGCGGCCGGGCCCCGTGGCGGCCGTGCCCGCGGATCCCGGCGCCGCGGGCGGGCTCCGTGCCCCGCGAGTTCCCTCCCGCAGCGGAGCCGCCGGGGTTTGCCTGTGGGAGCCTCTCCCTGCAGGGCGAGCTGACCGTGCTTTGTGCTTTTGCCAATAAAAAAGTGGTTCGCCTCGTTTTTTGAGCTAGCAGAAGGGGGGGAAAGGTGGATAAGTGCAGTGAGGAAGGGTTCTTACAATCAGATTTTAACTTAGCGGTTTTCAAAGATCCCCACTGTGCTGTGGCAGCAGAAATGGGGTTCCACCTCTCTCCCCTCTGTTGTGCTTTTTGGTCTGCCAGTGCCACGGATCCGCAGGTGTAAAAGCTGCAGGGTGTCAGACAAGAGGGAAAACAGGACTCATGGAGAGCTGAACACAGGGTTTCCCCCAAAATCCACTACTGAGCTTTGCTCTCAGGTTTATTGAGCAAGCCCCAAGCTGGTAAATGTTCAGCACAGGGAATGGCTGCACTATTTACCTTCAGTTTGTTTTGAAGGTGGTTTTTTTTGCCACTGAGTTCTGATCTTGTTGAAGATTCTCAGATTGAGGATTTGTTTAATAAGACTGGCAGCCTTTGGACAGTCAGTTAAATGCACTGGAGAGCAGTGGGTGTCTTGCTCTCTTTGCTGCCTTACAGGTATGGTTTGCTTGACCATGTAAATTACTAAATTATTCAAGAATGGAAACTGTGAATATTATATTAATATATAATAATATCAGTTCAGTCATCATCGTAGAAAATTGAGTTCTGGGCAGACACTGTTATGTGGGGTGTTTAAAATATTGTTTGAAAAACAGAGATGGGGAGCATATAAATATGTGAAATAGAGATTGTGTATATCTGAGGGTGGTTTGAGAGGCAGAGGCAGTTGGATTTTGGCTCACACACGGCCTTGTGCTGCTCTGGGCCCATTTTCTGGAGGTTGCTGGGTTCAGGAGTGAGGCACTGACAGGCCATGAAACGTTTACAGATGGGACAATGTGGGCATGCAAAATATGCACTGAGCTGCCTTTTCAGCTCTTGTTCCTCCTGGTGTTCAAAGTTCTGGCCTTGGGTTTGTTTGTCTTAGACTGCAAACAGCACAGGTAACATCTTAAATGGGTTTCAGTAATCCTTGAGGGACATGACCTGTTCTGGAACACAACCACTTTGTTTTTATTCTTCTTTGGAATTGTGGGTATGTTCATATTTCTGTCAAAAGACCAGAGCCCCATCCTTTTTGGGAAGCAGATTGAACTCTTGTCACTCAGAGTCCCACAAGTGCCTGTGTCATGACTGAAGTGATCAACTAACAAGAACAATCACAACAATTACCCCTAACTGCCCGAATCAGAGCATTAATTTGTCTTTTCTTCTTCTAACAGCTACATCGGGGGCATCATGAATTGGAATAAAGGTGGACCTGGCACGAAGAGAGGCTTTGGCTTTGGTGGCTTTGCCATAACACCTGGCAAGAAGGAGGAGCCCAAGCTGTCTCAGCAGTCCCACAGCGCCTTCGGCACCGCCGGCTCCTCGGCAGCGTTCGCCAAGTCGGGGCCTCCTCAGCTGCCTTCCTTCTACAAAATTGGCTCAAAGAGGGCCAATTTTGATGAGGAGAACGCGTAAGTGCAGCCACTTCTTGTGTTTATGTAGCTCTGGGTTTTAATGGCTTTGTGTTTCTGAGGTTGGGGGAAGTATCTGTGACATTTATATAAATAAATGTTGAATAATATACTTAGGAGACTGTGAGATGCTATGGTAGCCTGCAAAAGATTTCCTCCTCCAGCTTTCCCCTCTTGAGAACATATTTTATTCACTTTGCTCTTCTCAGAGTTGGAGCCAAGTAGGATAAATTTGGGTGTCTTTTGCACAGGGAAACATTGATCTCCACAGTTCTTTACTAACCCTTCTCTTGGCTGCATGAATGCCTAAATAAGATAGAGAAAGTTGGGATTATTCAGCCTGGAGAAGTTTGGGGCTGATCTAATTGTGTCCCTTCCAGTACCTGAAGGGAGCCTACAAGAAAGATGAAGAGAGACTCAATTTTATGATATCTCTTTGCCCTGCCATTGCTTTGAAGTTTTAACATGAAAAATTGTAAATAAATCAATCTCAGCATCTTCTCTTGTCCATGTGGGTACCTTGACTCAACCAGAAACCATGAAAGGCAGCACAGTGCTGTAAGCCATGTGCTGACTGGGCTGTTGTTCCCTTTTTTCAGGTACTTTGAGGATGAAGAGGAAGATTCCAGCAATGTGGAATTGCCCTACATTCCTGCAGAGAATTCCCCCACTCGGCAGCAGTTCCATTCCAAATCAGCAGACTCTGACAGCGATGATGATCCTCTGGAGGCATTCATGGCTGAAGTGGAGGCAAGAGCCAGCTTGGGGAATGTTTATTCATTGCTGTGGCTGTCCCTGTGTGCAGTCAGGGGCAGCAGATGTCACTCAGGGCTTTGGCAGCTGCAAAATGACACTTAACTTTGGGGTTTATGTAGGATGGTGTTAGACCTCAAAAATGGATTTGATAAACAGAGAGTGGATGTGACTTACAATAACTTAACTACTTAACTGCTTTGAGGATGTCAGAACAATGCAACATAGAGCTCTGCTTGTTTCTGAATATCAGACTAAGGTTTTCTGTGTTTTTCACTACCTAAATGGAAATTGTTTGTATTTATGATGAGCTGATTTTTAACAGTTCTGTTATTAGTTGGATTCAGGAGGAATATGGGGAATTTATTTTTCAATAACACTGTCACAAGCTTAGAGTAGTGTATAAATTCAAAGGTACTAGTAGGAGAATTTATTTACCATAATCAGATACAGAACAAGACAAAGATTAGTCCAATAAGTGTTGTCTCTGTGACATAATGGTTTAATTATTCAGGAACATTTTTCCCTTCCATGTTTTACCACCTTGGTCTTTTTAACATGTGACAACTTTATGACCTGCCAGGATCAAGCTGCTCGAGACATGAAGAGACTTGAAGATAAAGACAAAGAAAAAAAGAACGTTAAGTAAGTTCTCTTTTATCATTCCCATGCCTTGTGTGGTGCTCAGAGAATTCCTGTGCATTTTGTTGATGATGGTTTCTCATTAGGCAATGTAGTATATACCTAATAAGCATCAATAACTTGTGATGAGATGCTGTAGGTAACCATTTGTGCTGTAAAAATAGGATAATAGGGAAGAATCCATGGCAGCATCCCATGGCAGGCTGCAACAATGCTGAGAGTTATTCCATGCCAGAAACCTTTCTAGGTCACAGAAATCGGGGCAACACGTTGTGCTCTGCCACTTTCCAGATCAGCCTGGATGGTTTTTCTGCTTCCCACACCCTTGGAGAGATCAGAATGGTTTAGCTTAAAATTGCATTTATGTGAGCAGAATAAGTCAGTGCTGCTGTACCTGGACTACTGGAGGCTCTTCTAAACTTGGGCTAGGTTTTAGCCATTAAAGCTGATAGATTAGGTAGCACATGGTGATGGGGGTACTACATTTGGAGTTTAAAACAGTTTAAATTTGTGCAGCTTATCTATTTGTTTTGAGTAAGGAAAAGAATTCTGCTGTTGATTCTTGATAGAAATGTCAGATGTATTGGTAGAAGTTACATTGCACGGGGTTGATCAGATTATACATGGTCCTGACACAGAGCACCGGATCCAAATCACCACCTGGGCAAGTTCTGAACTGGATTTGCACTTCCTGGCTCATATTCCTCTTCAGTTATGGGACTTCTGTAGCCTCAAGAGCTTAGACCAGGATGATCTTTGATGTGGCTTCTGCTGGGAAGATGGAATCCTAATCTTTCAGTCTCAGTACTAGAAGTAAAGAGAAGTCTTTGCAGGGTCACTGCTATGGTTGGCACCAGATGTGAAAACTCCATGGGTTGGGAATATAAATGTTGCCAAGTTGATAGTGTTGTGTCTTCCACAAAACCTGGAGCTCAGCACTAATCAAATGAAACTATTGAGCTGAGTCTGTGGAACACTTGCAGGGAAGTTTTTCTCCGCTTGTTTTTCCAGGGGTATTCGAGATGACATTGAAGAGGAAGATGACCAAGTGAGTTCCTATGCAGTCTTTCTATCTTCTTTTTTGTTGTTTTGTATTTTTTAACTTTCCCTCTCCAACCACCTAACTGCTAGGGACAAACAAAATTCCAGTGTCGTGTGCAGTATCCGGACAATTCAGCAGGAAGCTGTAGTGGTTACCCTGCTGTCTCTACCCTTCCAGGTGTTTTAAGAAGAATATTAGACAATTGCATTCACTGAAGAATATTTCTTTTAGTCAGTTTGAACTTTGCTGTAGAGATTGTTCAGTGCCTGAGGATCTTACACACTGCCATTAGCACCATCAGCTCCAGAGGACACCAGGGAGAGGCTGTGGAGGCTCCTTGCAGTGAAATGTGGGGTCTGATCAGGGCAAGAATCAGGCTTTTTGATCCCTGTTTTCAGAGGAGCTCCAGTTCTCATTGAGCTTTATAAGTATCACTGTAGCAGAAATAATAAAGAGGAAAAACTGTATTTCAAAATGTACCTTCCTACTGAGTTGTAGTTACTAACACTTGTGTTACTTGCATTAATGCAGAGCTTGGCAGGGTTGTCTGGCCTTGAAGGCCTCTGCTTCCAGTGTGGTGGGTGTAATTGTGCCAGAGTTTGAGCAGAGGTGACTTCATGCCTGGGGGCAGCTGTTGTTCAAGTGTGTTGTGGGCATAGCTCTGTGACTGAGGAATAATTGGCCAGGAAAATGGAAAAGCCAGATGAGCAGATTTGTAATTGAGCCTTGCTTTACAAATCTGATCTTAAATATTTGCTTCAAGTCAAGCAAGACTGGTGTTTTCTCTATGAGAAAGCCTCACACTGGTGTGCCAGTGAAAATCTGAGAGACACAAACATCTTTGTGAGCTGTGAGGATGGCATGTGGCAGGGTGACAGTGTCTTAACTCGGGCTTGTCTTGAAGGACTCTTCTGAAATACTTTCTTTCACATTTGTTGTTGACTCTCTCAATGAAAAATAGATATCTCTTAATTTCCTGAACTCTAGTTAGGGGAAGTAAAGCAACTATCTTTGGCATAGCATGTTTAAAAAAATCAATATCATTTGCTTAGTTACAATGTGTTTTCTGGTTAGAAACCTACAGTGTTTTGTTCTTTGTGCTCTGTTCATGTGGAAATAAGAATAGATCCTTCTGTTAAACAACAAAACTTGGTAGAAGGAGTTGTTGAGCAGACACAAGAGAAGTTTGGCTTTTAGGAGCATTTTGTGGTGTAGCTGACCCTGGAGTTGTTTTCTTCATTTGTACTTCTTGTCCTTCAGGACGTATCTGTTGGTGTTTATTAGAAGAATCAGTTCTAGTGAAAGTAGTTACCTTTTTCCTCAGTGGTGGCTGTGAAAGCAAGCAGCCACTTAGCACATACATCCCTTCAACCAGCAGAAGTGCTTTTGCATCCTATGGTGTGTGAGTTTGCTGCTCTGTTTTGCTGCAGGAAGCATATTTTCGCTACATGGCAGAGAACCCCACTGCTGGAGTGGTGCAGGAGGAGGAAGAGGATAACCTGGAGTATGACAGTGACGGGAATCCGATTGCACCATCCAAAAAAATCATTGATCCTCTTCCACCTATTGACCATTCAGAGGTAGGAGGCACTTCTCTTCTGTTCTGTTCTGTTTGAGGCATTCCAGAAAGCAGGAGCTGAGGAGGCTCCTGTAATATTGCAGTGCTTTCTTAGGTAAGTCATACTAAATTTCCTTGAAATGGCTTCATTTAAGCAAATGTTCTGGCAGACAATTAAGAACTTCAGAAAAAAAAAAGGAATCTTGAGTCTGGACTAACTGAGTAATGAATTAATTACATTGCAGATTGAATATCCACCATTTGAGAAAAATTTCTATGATGAGCACGAGGAGATCACCAGCCTGACCCCGCAGCAGGTGGTGGAGTTACGGCACAAGCTGAACCTCCGGGTAAGTGGACACAAAACTGCCCTCCCAGCAGCTTTTATCTCCCTCGCAGCATTGGGCTATCTTAGTTCAAATGAAGATTTTCACTGGGAACTCCAGCTTTTCAATCCAGTCCTGTCAGACACCTGCAGTGACGTTGATTTCTTGCAAGTCTCCTATGGATTTGTGAAAGTGGGCAGTGATGAATGCTACGTGGGCTAAAGACCTCCAGAGCTAGGAGTTAAAACTGGAAATAGATGCAGAAATTAGTTCTTTGCCATTTTTGACATATTACTGGGGTGACCTTCTGTGAAGGGAATTATTTGGGGTAGATCACCAGTTAGACACAAGGAGGTAAAAACAATGTTTAGTAGCTCATGTTGATTGACATATAATTAAATGTTTATACCTGAAGGTCTTATTTACACAACACATCTGGAATTTTCACCAGTTAAATTTAATGTCCACTCAGAAAGTATAATTCTTTTCCAGATTTTCCAGAGGCAGAGAGACCTTTTTTTTTTTTTAAACAGATTGCTCTTTGTTTTTGTCTCACTGTTCATGAACAAAGATCTTTTTCTCTTTCCAAGGTCTCCGGGGCTGCTCCTCCAAGGCCTGGCAGTAGTTTTGCTCATTTTGGGTTTGATGAGCAACTTATGCATCAGATTAGGAAATCTGAGTATACCCAACCCACTCCAATACAATGTCAGGTAAGTGTTGTTACTTCTCAAACCTGTAAAGAGAACTAAAGCAACACATGCAAAGCTCCCTCATCCACATGAGGAGAAGATAAATACAATTCTAGTTGCCTGCAGAGTGGGTTTTTCTAGAAAAATGGCTTTGGTATTTTTTAAATAGAAGTTTGCCCACTTTTTTTCTTGTTGAATGACCACTGTAAATATATCCATATTCCTCTTACATTGTTTGTTTTTTTTTTTGGTGAGTGAAGAACATTCAAGTGATGTCTCTTGCCTAGAGAAATGTATGAGAAGTTCATGGTTTTTTGTCTTGGCCTTTCCTCTCTACCCAAGTTTTCCTGTACTGTCCAGCACAAGGATGTGCAAGACTGGGCATAATGTGGGCTTAGAACCTCCTTCTTTTTAGGGTGTTCCAGTGGCACTAAGTGGCAGAGACATGATTGGGATAGCCAAGACTGGAAGTGGGAAAACAGCCGCCTTCATCTGGCCAATGCTGATCCACATCATGGATCAGAAGGAGCTTGAACCAGGGGATGGTCCCATTGCAGTGATTGTCTGCCCAACCAGGGAGCTCTGCCAGCAGGTAGGTGTGTAGCATTCCTCTATGTACCAGCCAGTCTGCTTGGAGAAGAAGGCAAAGCTCTTGGCAGAAATTATCAGATAACCTCAGGAAAGTATTTGAAAAAACTACTTTGTGCATGAGTAACCTGGGTCCAGCTCACAGCTCTGTCTTACCATTGTTGCCTTAAAGAATCGTGACAAACTTAAAATTTTATATTTTTGCACCGTGCTCCTATATTATTTTTAGGATGCTGTGCATGCATTGTGACAAATTGTATGTGCAGAAGGATAGAGCCTGCAGGTTAAATTAATATTGGATGCCCAAGTAGGTTTGCCAAGTTACTGGAAATTATCCACATGTGTTGAAGTATTCACCCCTGAGGAGTTTGGAATTGTTCCATTAAGACAGTAGCTGAGGAGTGCATTTCGGGCTCCGTGCTCATTTCCAGGGTGGGTGTGTTGCCTCAGAGCTGTCTGACGTGAGCTGTGCTGTGTCTGTGTCACTCCCTCAGATCCACTCCGAGTGCAAGCGCTTTGGCAAGGCCTACAACCTGCGCTCCGTGGCCGTGTACGGAGGAGGCAGCATGTGGGAGCAAGCCAAGGCCCTGCAGGAGGGGGCAGAGATCGTGGTCTGCACACCAGTGAGTACCTGTGGCCACCAAAACCAGGGGTTTGCACTGCTCAGCTCAAAAAAGTTGTAAGAATCTGTTCCTATGACACTTAATTCTAGACTGAAGCCTTGAGATGTTTTCTGCTGTAAGTCAGGATGGTGGTTGTATATATTAACATGTTTTTAAAGGTGCTTTAAAAAGCTGGAGTTTTTTCTTACTAGGGTCGTCTGATTGATCATGTGAAGAAGAAAGCTACAAACCTGCAGAGAGTCACTTACCTTGTGTTTGATGAAGCTGACAGAATGTTTGATATGGGGTTTGGTGAGTACTGAATCAAAGTCATTATTTTGGAAAGCAGTAGTGCCCAGTCCCAGCTTAGGAGGGTCTGTAAAATTAAATAGTGAGTGAGAAGCACTCATTCTTTCTGTGATTACATGTTAAATAAAGCAATGAATTTGCATTTTGACTTAGTTTTTCTGAACAATGAGCTTACAGGGTTGATTAGAGCATTTCTTCTCCTTTGCAGAGTACCAGGTCAGATCAATCGCAAGCCACGTACGTCCTGACAGACAGAGTGAGTAAACAGTGAGTCTGGAGCAGGGCTTGGATTTCCAGTTCTGGACACAGCCTCACCAGGAGACTTGTGCCAAAGTCCACTGGTGTTATTCTCAGCGTGGGCTGTTGGGAGGGAGCAGTTGTGACATGTGGGCATTCAACTCATCTCTCTGTAATCCCTCCACCGACTGCACCCAGAGCAAAGATGATTAGCTGAATTCATGTTCATATGCCTTGAAATTCAGTGTTCTGAGCTGCCATGAGAGAAAGTTCACAGCCCTGTAGTATCAATATTTCAGATGCTATGAATTGTGTTTCCATTTCATGGTATTCTAACAGTGGCTGGTAATTTCTATTAGAACCCATAAAACCTCAGCTTCAGTTCAGTGACATCAGGAATCCAGGTCTTCCTTCACAACATCTGTGCAGTGTTTTTACAGTTCTGAAAGGAAGTTTCTACTTCGAGGAGTTTGAAGCCTGTTTCTCTTGCAGCCCTCCTGTTCAGTGCCACGTTCCGTAAGAAGATTGAGAAGTTGGCTCGGGATATTCTGATCGACCCAATTCGGGTTGTGCAGGGAGACATTGGAGAGGTAACTCCATCATACTTGTGAGACACTCAGAGCAGGGAGTTGTTCTGTTTCTGTTCTCTGAAGTTTAAGTTAAACTGCAGGAATCATAATTTATAGTTAGTTTTAAATAATTTGTGCTTAGCAAAAATAGAAAGTTTTAGAAATAGTGGGTTTCTATTTTTATTTGTTGACCTTTCCACCAACAAATATTCCTGTAGTGTTGGGAGGTTTCATCAAGGAGTAGAACATTAATGTGGTGGTTTATTTTTGTTATTAGGCTGAATCAATGGTTGTATCTTTCAGTTTTATCTCAAAAGCATAAACAAAGCCATTGCAACTTCTGCAGTGAAGAATTTGAAAGTTAAAATCTCTGTCCTATAGTTTACATGGGAATGTTGATGTTGGACTTGCTTGACAGTGACAGCTGAACTGTCAGCAGGCTGGGATCTGGTAGGAAGCTGATGAAGTGGGCAGATATAAACTCTGCTAATGATATATTGAAACTTCACAAATTTCACAAGATGTCTTCAGAACATCCTTCTTTCAACCAGTTCTCTGCATTTTTTTTTTACATCAGATCCCTTTATAACAAAAGAAATGACTGCCTGAAGTCCCTTCTTTCTGGGAAAAAATTTCCTTGATTTTGCTTAAGGAAAGCACCAGCATTCACAGCTCAATCACAGGGCCTCTATTCATTGATCTAAACTATTACTATGTAATGGGAGTATCATCCTTGAATATAATATTAAAATGTGTAAAAATGAAATCTTTCAGAGAAAACTTGCAGGTAGTGCTGTAAGCTGCACTCTATTAACTGTGATGCAGAGTGTGTGGGAGCTCTGTGTATTGCTCCCACCTTCCTGACTCCGAGGACATTTGTCCCCTTAGGCAAATGAAGATGTCACTCAGATTGTGGAGATTTTCCCCTCGGGGCCCAGCAAGTGGAACTGGCTGACGCGGCGCCTGGTGGAGTTCACGTCCTCCGGCAGCGTCCTCCTCTTCGTCACCAAGAAAGCCAACGCAGAGGAGCTGGCCAATAACCTCAAGCAGGAGGATCATAACCTGGGGCTGCTCCATGGGGACATGGACCAGAGCGAGAGGAACAAAGTCATTTCGGAATTTAAGAAAAAGGGCATCCCCATCCTGGTAGCTACTGATGTGGCAGGTACGTGACCTTCTGGAAAGCAGCTCAGACAAGCTGTGGGTATAGCAGAAAGGCAAGCGTGGTTCAGTGGAAGGCAACCAGGTTGGATTCTGCACCTGCAGGACACTGTGCTCCAGGTGCTTTTCAGAACAGAGGAATATCCTGAGCTGGAAGGGATGCATGGAACCCAACTCCTGGCCCTGCACAGACACCCCCAAGAGTCTCACTGTGTGCCTGTGCAGTACATGGCATTGGCAAGGGGGGTTATTATTAGTCTCTTTTAATGATACCTAAATTACAGCCTGACATTTTTTAATATACAGAAGGAAAAGCTGTGTCTTAAGGAAGTGGTTGCTCTTCATTCATCAGCTGACATTCCTTTTGCCTGCAGGACCAGAGCAGGGTACCAGAGGAATTGCTCTGAGTTAATTGGGGGTAATGACACTTCCCACCACGTTGCTCTTTCTTGCAGCTCGAGGGTTGGATATCCCTTCCATCAAGACTGTCATCAACTACGACGTGGCTCGGGACATAGACACGCACACGCACCGCATCGGCCGCACCGGCCGCGCCGGGGAGAAGGGGGTGGCCTACACTCTGCTGACCCCCAAGGACAGCAACTTCGCTGGTGACCTCGTCAGAAACCTGGAGGGTGCCAACCAGCACGTCTCCAAAGAGCTGCTGGATTTGGCAATGCAGGTATGAACCAGCAAAAGTGGAGGTGAGGAAGTGTCGCTCCAGATTCGGCGCAAAATCAGGCAGCTCGTGTTGCTGGCTCCATCACGTGTTTGCAGTGACCTTTTGGGGATCTGTCCTGATTTAAAGTAGGTTTCCTAGTGGTTTCAATGGCCTTTGAAAGAATCCATGAAGATTTTGTAACACAGTATATGATCTATTTTGGGGCCAGGCACTGCCTAGGAAATTAGGAGCTGTAATTTGCTGATGCCAGCAGAGCATTCCAGTGTCTCATTACAGTCAGATTTATAGCAGGCACCTGGGGGATGCAGCTTAGTTGAAAGCTAAACTAGAAAACAATTACAGGGACGTTCCCTCTGTGAAAGGATTGTTGCTTGATCATTCCACCTGCTTGGCAGTGCTCTCTGGCAGGTTTGCTATATATAGGTGTGACAGGTAGCTGCTGCAATTCTGCTTGTGCCACTGAACTTATCAACTCTTTAATTTCTTGTCTTTTGCTGCTTGTATAGCTGCAAGAGAGCCCAGGACTTTTTGGCAACTCCCAGATTCAGAGATGGATTAGTAGGCCTGTGGACACATTAGCAAGTAGCTTGGACAGCAGCTGCCAAAAGTAAATACTTTTTGTGACAAAGGCAGCATTTTCAGAAGGGACAGAATTAATGAGGCAGAGCTCCCCTAACTGCCTTGAGAGGAGCATGTAGGAAGCCAATTGACTTATTCATATTTGGAGGGATTGTAGGGCATAAAAAGAGGTGCAGCCAGCTATTATTTAACCACCTGGAAACAGCAGGTCTGGTTGGGCTGACAGTCCCTGGTCACTGCTTGGAACAGAAAGTTTTGCTGACAGACCCTCATTTCTCCTTAGCCAAGCACTGGGCTAAATCAGTGAAACCAAAGTATGAGCAAGAGCAGAGCTCCCAAGTGATGGCATTGGAAATTGTGTTTATTCCTGGGTTTATTAGAATGCAAACCCCCAAAACCTTAACCTGAATGAGAGTTGAAGGTGTAAAATTAGTTTTCATAGAAAGCATTTGTAACTCAAAGCATCAGACCCACATGACAGAACTGCTTACAGCAGCTGTGTGGTTAAATGGAAAACAGTATTTGCATTTGTCTTTTGAAATGCTCAGTGTGCCTTTTTTCTCAGCCTCATTACATGCATTTGTGAAGCTTTTTATTCCCTGTGTTGAGAAACACTTGTCCTTCTCTTACAGAATCCGTGGTTCCGGAAATCCCGTTTTAAAGGAGGGAAGGGCAAGAAGCTGAATATTGGTGGTGGTGGCTTGGGATACCGTGAACGCCCCGGGCTGGGCTCAGAAAATACTGTAAGTAGAGATGCTGAAGGGGTTGTTCACAGATTCTTGGACCTTTTTCACTTAGTATTGATTACTCTTTAATTTAAAAATTGGTACTGGATTACAGTGTCTGCTTTAGAAGTTTCTCATAGCTCAGCATCTTTCAGAGTTAGGATCATATATCTCAAGTGAAAGTCTCCTGTGCTCTTCTTCTCTTGTTAAGAGCTGCTTTTTTTTTTGGAGCTAGAATGATCCAGAAGGTTTGGAGATTCCTCATAAAATAGGCTGTAAAATAGATGCTGATAAATTACTTCAAAATTTCCAGCCATTTCCAGTCTGATTCTTGGCATTAAAAAAAAAAACAGTGGAGCAAACTGTTCCACTGCTCAGGGCTCTTCAGAAGTCTGTCACCCTTAGTGGATGTACTTCCTGAGTGCAGGGACAGGACAGATGTGAGCAGTGGTTGAACTGAGTGTGTCTGTGTGAGATAAACCTCTGCTGTTGCCCTTTGTGTTTTTGCACAGGACCGTGGAAACAACAACAGTGTGATGAGCAACTATGAGGCCTACAAGCCATCCACAGGGGCCATGGGGGACAGGCTGACAGCAATGAAAGCAGCTTTCCAGGTTGGTTCCATGCTGGGACTCCTTTTCTCCCCTGAAAGTGCAGCAGCCCTGGTATTTCAGGGAAGTTGAGGGTGGTGGTTGTGGCTGTGTCACTTGGAGCACACTCAGCATGGCAGTCCCGAATGGTGGAATTAGGTGCAGGCTGGACTGAACACATTTGCATAAATTTGCCAAACTTAATTTGTTTTCTGCTGCCTCTTTGCTCCTTTCTCTTTCTGGATTCTGCACCTGGGCTTGATTCTGTGGAGGTTTCTTTGCAGCAGTAGTGTAATTGCAATCAAAAGGGGAAACAGAAGCTCTTTCTCTTCAGTGTAAAAATTAACCCCACAATGTAAGAATTCCCTTATTGGTGTTGTCTGGTAGGAGGTGCCTCTGTGTCCATAAGCACAGGAGGAATGTAATCACTCCAAGACTGACTTTTTCTAGGAATTCTGTTGCCCCAAAATCCAAGGTGGTCTTGTAAACACACGAAGACTCCGTGTTCTGTGGGGCAGCACAGAGCCAAACCTGCTCTCTCTTGTCTCTCCTGCAGTCCCAGTACAAGAGTCACTTTGTTGCTGCAAGTTTAAATAACCAAAAGACTGGGAGCTCTGCTGCTGGTGCCAGTGGCTGGACCAGCGCCGGGAGCCTGAACTCCGTCCCGACGAGTTCAGCGCAGCAAAACGCCGCCAGTGCCGAGAGCCCCATGGCAGCCACCGCGGCGGCGAAGGGAGTGCCCGGCTTCACCAGCACGGGCAGCCTGAGCAGCGTCCCCTCCTTCCCCAGCCCCGGAGCACAGGGCTTCAACAGCGCCAATGCCAGCACCAACAGCCGGGAGGGCGGCGGCACTGTCAGGGAGCGGTACAACGACAGCCGGAACAGTCGGCACGGAGAGGCCCCGCGGCGCGCCGAGGGCGGTGGTGGCCGAGGGGAGGGTGGTGGTGGCCGAGGGGAGGGTGGTGGTGGCGGCCGAGGGGAGGGCAGCAGTGGTGGCCGAGGAGAGGGCGGTGGTGGCCGAGGGGACGGCGGCGGTAGTGGCCGCTTCAGCGAGGGCCAGCGCTTCAACGATGGCCAACGTTTCAACGATGGCCAACGCTTTAATTTTGCTGTGCGTTTCAGTGATGGTCAACGCTTCAATGATGGCCAACGTTTCAACGATGGCCAGCGCTTCAGTGATGGCCAACGCTTCAGCGAGGGCCAACGCTTCAACGATGGCCAGCGCTTCAACGATGGCCAACGCTTCAGCGAGGGCCAACGCTTCAACGATGGCCAGCGCTTCAACGATGGCCAACGCTTCAGCGAGGGCCAACGCTTCAACGATGGCCAGCGCTTCAACGATGGCCAACGCTTCAGCGAGGGCCAACGCTTCAACGATGGCCAGCGCTTCAACGATGGCCAACGCTTCAGCGAGGGCCAACGCTTCAACGATGGCCAGCGCTTCAACGATGGCCAACGCTTCAGCGAGGGCCAACGCTTCAACGATGGCCAGCGCTTCAACGATGGCCAACGCTTCAGCGAGGGCCAACGCTTCAACGATGGCCAGCGCTTCAACGATGGCCAACGCTTCAGCGAGGGCCAACGCTTCAACGATGGCCAGCGCTTCAACGATGGCCAACGCTTCAGCGAGGGCCAACGCTTCAACGATGGCCCAACGATGGCCAACGCTTCAGCGATGGCCAACGCTATGATGGCCAACGTTTCAACGAGGGCCAACGCTACAACGAGGGCCAGCGCCACAGCGAAGGCGGTGGCCGGCACAGTGACCCCTCCCGGCACGGCGACGTCCATCGCCACGGCGAGGGCCGGCACTTCACCGACGTGCCGGGCGGCAACCGCAACAACAGTGACAGCAGGAACAGCACCGAGGGGAGGAACAGCGAGAGCAGGAATGGAGAGAACAGGAAGGAGGCCAACAGCCGGGACAACAAGACAGATGGTTTTGCTGTCCCAGAGCCCCCAAAACGGAAGAAGAGCCGGTGGGACAGTTAAAGGCTGGGGGTTCACAGCCTGGAATCTCTGCAGGTAGTGGTGTTGTTTTCCAGAGGATTTCTTGGGGTTTCTGGTAACTGGTTGTTGAGCAGCTGGGGCAGGAGAAGGAAACCATGAGAACCCCCATGCAAGTTCATCTGCGGACAGATTCATGCACACAACACTTAGCGAAAGAAATCATTTTGATAAAGCTCCCTGGGTTCTGCTTTGAAACTTTCAGTGCTCGAGTGACTCTGCTGGATTTAAACAGATCTTCTTGACAAAGAGAAGCTGTTCCACATCCTTGGAACGTTAAGAAACTGTTGTCCATAGAAGTATAAATTAGTCTTTTCTTAACCAGCGTTCACATTTACAAACCAGTCCAGTCCACCTAGAGATGCTCAGGACCTGCCTGTTAGACATTAATCTTGCAGCAGTTTGGTCAGTATGGTGAGTTCTTCCTCCATCTCCTTTTCACATATTCTCCCCAAATAATTTGGTCTCCAGGTTCCCCGTTTCCTCTCTCCCCATCAACTAAGAATGTATCAATTTGCTTTGCTGAAGGTGGGGCAGAGCAAGTTGATTTCATTTTTTGGTTGTTTTTGTTTTTTGGGTTTTTTTTAATTTTGCTGTGTGTGGAGCTGTTCAAGGGATCCTTCTCCATCCCAGCAAACCACAAATTCACTTGTAGTGTAGGTTGGACTCCCTGGCTTGTTTGTGGTCAGTACTTTAATTCCAATCCCTTTGCCCAGATATTTTTTTTAAGAACCTTCTGTTTTCGAAGATCCTTCATTCTGGTGGAAGCCTGCATAGCAAACCTGTGTCTCTGCTGTGCCTATGCACCCTCTGTTCTGAGAGGGTTGAGTGCTTTCTTCAAATTAAAAACAAAAAAGGGAAGACAATGTAGATAGACCACAACAATCAGAGGCTGGAGCCCCCCAGTAAGTGTGGCTAAAGGAAGAACATTCAGAAATTCAGGGATCTGTTGCTCAGAAGCCTTTAGGGAGAACTCAGAAAACAATTAGTGAGAAGAAACAGCTCAAATCTGGCCTTGTTTTGGACACATGTAGTAAATCTGTAAAATCTTACTTGCCCATTTTTAACTCATTGTGTGTATTCCCATTTTTTTAACTTCTTTTTTTTTTTTTTTTGCCACAAGGTAGGGAAGAACTTTTCAGTTGGGACATGTCAGCACCCACCGCTGGCTCGTTTCCACTGGAAGATGTACCAGAAGCTGTCAGGGTTTTGTGACATTGTGATGTTTTCTTTATCAGCTGTGCATTTACTTTCTGCTTGCTCTAGTAAATGTTTTATTACTGGTACAAAAACATGCAGCATGTGCTTTTTATTCTCCTCTTCCTTTGGCTGCCCTGATGTGCGAATGGAGAACTGACAGTCTGGAGATCCAGAAGTTGTGGATTGTAGTTGATAAAATACTTCCTGTGGGTTTTCTTAGTATCTTTCACCCCAAAATGTTTCACAAACCCTGGTTTAGCTTCAAGGTCTCCTGGAGAATAGATTTTCCTCTGCTTTATAAGAGGGAAGGATACAGCCCAGGACATGTGATTCATTTCATGGGGTCAGGGGCAGGCCTGGAGGGAGAGCTCAGCAACAGCCCCAAGGTCTGACTGACACCTGAACTGGCTACAGTTCAGACACTATGTGATTATTTGGGCCGTCTCAGAAACCAGCTGTGATCTGCTGGAGTTTTTTAAACTATTTTCCAAAATTCCCACACTCTGGGCAGGAGGTTCCAGAATTCCCTCCCCACAGTCTGTTGCCCTGGTTTGAGCTCTGTGTGAAGACCAGGGTGTTTCAGGGCAGACTGGCAGGGCTTTACAAGCTGTTGTGTTCCCCTTCTCACCCTGAAGGCTCATTGCTGCAATTAAAGACTGGAGTTTCAAAACAAAATGTGAAAATAGCCCCAGAGTCTGAGGTGCTGCTCCCTCCCTTCCCTGATCCCAGCTCGCTGCCACTGGAACCAGCCCCATGTGAGGCACATGCTGGGGGTTCTCCCTTCTTGTTAACACTTCCCTCTGCTCCTTGTAGGATTATTGGAATTCCTCACCCCTCTCCCATCTTCCAGGAGCCCCTTGGGAAGAGAGTGATTAAATATTGATCAGTGGCAGAGCTGTCAGCTTGCGGGGCTGTGTGAGGTCTGTGCCCTCAGAACAAGGGCGCAGTGTGAGCAGCATTCCAGCTGCCCTGGGAGGGGATCTGGCCCTGCAGTGCCAGCTGGGCTGCTGTCTTCCAAAGAGACTAATTCCTTCCCAGAGATGATTTTAAAACTGCATCCTAGAGCCCTTCCCTGCCATGGCTCCTGGCTGTTTGTCCCTCCAGTTCCCTATGACTCACTTAACACCAAAGCTTTTCACTGGAAGAGATGGGAATGCACACAGTTATTCACCTGGTCCCTGTCTTTAGCAAGAAATTCCTGCCTTGAGGGGCTGTGTAGGAAGAAGATGCTCCATGCTATCACCACCATGCTGTTTAATTTACCTGCCATCTACACAGCTCCTTGGGAATGCCTTTTCCCTGGGGTGAGGAGCTTTCCCAGGCAGGGCAGGGGGATGCTGAGGCTCCTGTCCACAGCAGGGGCAGGGAGAGCAGACCTGGCTGGGAACAGGGCCAGGGTTCCAACCTTTCCCCCACTGCTGGGTGCAGGCTGGAGTACAAGGATGGAAACAAGCCAGACAGACTCTCTTTATTCACTTCTTAGCCTTCAATGAGATGACAGGGCCACGACAGTTGCATGCAGGGGCCTTTGTGGTAATGGATGAAGTGTTGGGCATTCAAGTGTTCCCTGCACTCTTCTAGGCATAAAGTTCATCCTGCCTCCTTCATCCCACCCTGTCCCAGTGCCTCCTGCTCCAGTTTGTGGTTGGTGTTGGTGTTCACTCCCTCCACGAGCTGCAGAGGATGAGGAGGGCAGGCTGGGCTGCAGAACAGCCCCACTCCGTGCTCCCCCGGCTGGAGCTGGGGCTGGTGGGGGAGTCCGAGGCAGGATGGGGCTCAGGGGATGGGCTTTGACCGCCTGGAGAAGTCACCTCCCACTTGTGGGGGTGGGAACAAACACTGCGGTGTCTCCTGGTGAAGACTCAAGGCTTTGCAAGCACAGGGATCACATCAGTTACTTGCACGTGGAGGAGAATGAGGTTTCATGGCTTGTTTTTGGGCCGGGGTGGAGGAGGAGTGAGAGTACGTGGTCCCTTTGCACGCTGGCTGTGGCAGAAAGGGAGCTGGGTTGTTCTGGCTGCTCTCCCAGCCCTGGCTCTCCGTGCCAGCATAAGCAGAACCCGAAGTGTGAGGATCAGCACCTTTCCAGGCACATCTGCAGGTAGGAAATCCACCTTCTGCTTCACAGCATCGTCTCCATCTCCTTGTTGGGCTTGGGCTGGCACTGGGTCAGCTCTGTCGAGTCCACCGTGTGCTCGCCCCGGGCTCTGTGGCTCAGCTCCTCCGCGGGGCAGGGCAGGCGGGGCCGGGCCGGCAGCAGCAGCCCCCGGGTGCCCCCTGCTCCCCGCCCTGCCAGGCTGGTGCTGCAGCTTTGGGGGGCCTGGCAGCCCCTCCCGGTACAGCAGCAGCTCCCGGGGCGTGCCTGCTGCCCCAGGTGCAGCGCCAGGAGCCGCCGCAAATGAGCCTTCTTGATTTCAGCCTGCACCTGGGAGAGCAGAGGGGGCTGCTGTGCCCGGACACAGCAAAACAGCCTTGCCTTACCTTGCCCTTTTCCCTCCCTTTCCCTTCTCCTTTCCCTTCTTTCCCTCCAAATCCTACTGAGAGGGATGGATGTGAGCTTTTTGCTGTGGCTCTGAGCTTTTTGCTGTGCCAGTTTGCCTCCCCTGACTCTAAAGGGGCTGGAACAGGGAGCTTAGCTCCTCACTCTTCCCACTTACCTCCCCATTGCAAAAGCAGTAGATAAAAGCCACAAAGAAACCCTGCCAAGAGACCAAAAGAGGTGGAGTTTGAGGTGCCTGAGCCTCCCTGGATGAATGCCCCTCAATGCTGGGAGTGTCAGCCCACCTGGGAGGAGTTGAAGAGCATCTCATAGTGCATCTGGATCTGCCACAGGAGCCCGGAGACCTCGGTGTAGGGCATGGCCATGAACACCACGTAGTGGACTCCAAAAAGTGGCATCAGCACCAGCGTGGACTTGAGCAGCTTCCTGAAAGGAGAGACCTCAGAGCCATTCCCCAGGGCCTGCAGGGCAGCCCCACAGTGGCCAGGCTGGAGGTGGGAGCAGGAAGAGCTCAGAACTCCAGAGCCAGCCTTCAATCCAGCAGAGCTGCCAGAGGAGCTGGCTGCCACTATCCTGCCACCCTTCCTCACTCCTCCAGCCCTTCCCACACCTCTGCTCCTCCTCCACGACCTCGGGGAGTCATCCTGGCTGAACAGGCTGTGGTGCTGCCAGCACTTGCCTGTACTGCTGCCGGGGGTCCAGCTTGCCCGTGGTGGTCTCCCAGAGCTTGGAGGCCAACACCCGGACGATGTTGAGGAAGAGGAAGAAGTTCCCCTGCCAAGAGACACCCACTGTGAGCTGGGGTCTGCCCAAGGAGCCCTTGAGGCCACAGACCTTGGGTGAGGTGCAGGCAGGGACACGGCAGTGATGCTGTGGTCAGAGCAGGAGGGACCAGAGCCCCTGGATCCCTCTGGGCTCTCCCTGGGTGCTGGAGTGGCTGGGCCATCCTGGCTGAACAGGCAGGACACGAGGCTGTGGTGCTGCCAGCACTTGCCTGTACTGCTGCCGGGGGTCCAGCTTGCCCGTGGTGGTCTCCCAGAGCTTGGAGGCCAACACCCGGACGATGTTGAGGAAGAGGAAGAAGTTCACCTGCCAAGAGACACCCACTGTGAGCTGGGGTCTGCCCAAGGAGCCCTTGAGGCCACAGACCTTGGGTGAGGTGCAGGCAGGGACACGGCAGTGATGCTGTGGTCAGACAGGAGGGACCAGAGCCCCTGGATCCCTCTGGGCTCTCCCTGGGTGCTGGAGTGGCTGGGACAAAACTCCAGCAACCACAGGTGAGCAGCTCTGCTCTCTATCAATCCTCTTTCCTCAAAAGGAATTGGGAGGTTCATGCACAGGATTCTTACCACAACTGCAGCCAGGATGGGGACCTGATAAATCCACTTCATGTTCCCAGCACTGAGGTCCCAGCACCTGAGAAGACCAGTACAGAAACTCCTTGGAGAAACCTGACACCACTGGGAAGGATGGTTCCCTGTACCCCCAACCACCCCAGTACCCCCAACTCCCACTCTCCACCCCCTTGCTGGGCTTTGTGTAAATCTTGAGCTGTAGCTCCAAGCAATTGTAACCATCATGGTGGGGCAAAGCAGATTTAAATGAGCATTAAGTTCCTGAGGGCTCCTTGGCCACCTCCTCCCAAACTCCTGCTGTTCCTATGATGACCTTTCAGCTTTTAAAATGCCTCACTCCAGAATGTGCCCTTTAGCATCCATCTCTGTGCTGTTTATTGATCAATTTATGCTGCAAACCCACATCCACCATCCTCCCAACGCAGAACAAAACCACCATAGCTCTGCATTACTGACAATTCTATGAACAAGCCTTGAATGTCTGTTCCATGCTGTTGTTCTTTTTGGAAAATTTTCATTTCCAAAAAGCTCTGGTGCCCACAGATACTTTGCTGGCATTTGCAGGCACTCTTCCCAAAGGCCCTGGCAAAGGTGGGTGTACATACTGTGTGTCTGCCAGCGAGGCCCTGACGCTGGCCCAGATGGACACAAACACAGCAGGGAGACCTAGAAGGGCAGGGACAGAGAGAGGAGCAGGGTTGGAGCAGCACCTTTGCAGATCCAGCCAGTTCCTGCATCCCACTGCCCTTCCCTGGGCACTTGGCCAATGCCAGAGCTCCTGGCTGGGGCTGGGGTCTGTGCTCACCCCAGCCGATGATGATGAGCACCCACAGGTAGTTCTTGTTGGAGAGGAAGGCCATGAAGATCAGGCTGTGCAGGTAGAGACCTTCCACCAGGATCCAGTAGTGGTTGGTGGCCAGAAAATAGAGGAAGAGAGTCACCACCACCTTGCAGCCAGCCTGTGGGAGATGCCTGTGTCAGGCTGGTCCCCAAAAGCAAAACCTGGTGGCTTTTGCTTTCTGGTCACCAAAACCCAGCTGTGCCCCATGTTCTCCTTGCAGATACCTGCATCTCCTCTGGGATATTCCAGCATCTCCTTCCCACAGGACAGGTATTCCCAGTGCACAGGCCAAGGTGCTCTGTGGCTCTGGTCTCTAGTGTGGCACCAGGACAGGGAGGAGCTGAGCAGAGCCAAAGGTGGACCTTCATCCCCTCCCCTTGAGCAGCACAGCCCCAGCCTGGGAGGATCCCAAGCACATCCCATTGCATTAGGGGTCCTAAATCCCCCTTTCCCCCCATCCACCACTTGCCAGGTGTCCCCGTTGCCCTGGCAGGGGACCCCCAAGGTCCTCGCGCGTCCTGTCGGCGTCGCTGGGCGCCGTGCCCGAGTAGAGCACCATGTCCTTCAGGAAGATGCTGAGGGCCCGGCAGATGAAGGAGGTGAAGAGGTGCACGTGGATGTAATTCCGTGTGCAGTGCAGGCGTCTGTGGAGAAGGGAAGTGGCACCAACCAACCCCAGCTGCCCAACCAACTCACCACAGCTGGGCTCAGGGAATGGGGGCTCTCAGGGTGGGCTCTGGGGTGTCTGGGCACAGCAACCAGATCTGGGAGCAAGTGGGGTGTGCACACTGTCCAGGAGCAGGGTGGAGAGATCAGGAGCTGGTCACACTGGGGATGACTGGGGCTTTGGGAAATTGGCTGATGTTTGTGTTGGGTCTGGGGTTGTTCCCATTCCTTTGGGGGCTGGCCCCTCCCCAGGCTCGTGTGCATGGAGAATGGGATGGATTCCTGTTCTCCCACATAAGGGGGGCTTTGGCCTCTCCTTACTTGAAGTAGGAGAGGATGCAGACAGCAACGATGAGGGAGGCCAGGGAGATGGAGTAGCCCACGGTGTACATGAGGTGCAGGCGGTCAAACACCTCCTGGAAGAGAAGGCCAGAGCTCCACCTCCCTGCCAGAGCACAGGGGGAGCAGGGCTGGTGTGAGGAGCAGAGAGGGAAGAGCCCCTGCCCCCAGCTTCATCCTCCCCTGGCCCCCCTCCACACCCCTTTCCCAGCACCTTTGACAAACAAGGTCACCTTCTGGTGGCTCCGGCTCTCGGAGGAGAAGAGCAGGGCACATTCTGTGTAGTTGGCCCAGGTCTTGTTGATGCTGAGAGCCATGGCCCAGGTCCCATAGGCACTGCAGTACCTGTAGGCGTGACCTGGGGACAGCAACGAGCACTGTGGCAGCAGAAGGACCCAGACTTGTCCCTGCTCCGTGGATTGTCACCAGGGTGAGGTCACTCTCTGTCCAGACTTGCCTTTGTGGTTGAAGTCGTAGATGTAGTCGGGGCAAGGCACTGACACCTCCTGGCTGGGGGAGCCCCTTGGCCAGCAGATGATCCCATCCCACTCTGGAGGGCAGCTGGGGTCTGGCCAAAGAGCAAAGACACATCTCACATCTCCAGTCAGGGCCTCAGCACAACCTCTGGCTTCCTCAGGTGTGTGCTGGACCAGGGGGAGGAAAATGCTGCCACAGATCCCCTGGGCTGCAGAGAGGGAGGAGCTGCAGGAGGCCAGGGAAGGGGACACATCCCACCTCTTCCAGATGGGGCAAGGCCCCTCCACAGCTCTCGTTTGTGGTGTACATGGAGCTGTCTGGAAAATGCTGGAGCCAGTGCTGGCTGCACCCAGAGCATGGATGGTGCCATGAGCTCCACAAAGCCCTGGGAGCTGGGTGTCCTCAGCCCCATCCCACCCCAACAGAGAGGACAGCATTCCCACAGTGTAACCAGCCCCACCAGGGATGGCTCACCCAAGCACAGGGGAGGGACAATACCTTTGATCTTCTCCAGCTGGGCCTTTATGTCCCTGTGACACTTTTCCTTGGCCTCCACCAGGAGATAGATCTGCTCTTCTTTGGTGAGAACATCATCGGGATCAACCTGCCCAGACCAAACCCAAGTGACAACCCCTTGGCTCAAGTCATGGCATGGCTATGCTCTCCCAACCCTCTCCAGGAGAGTCAGGTTTGGGTGGCTTTGGGTAGATTCAACAACACGGGGAAGAAAAATGCTCTTCCTGCATTCCTGCTCTCATTTTTCCCTCTTCCAAGGCTGATGCTGACTCCAAGCCCCTTCCTGCCCTCTCCATGGTCATTTCTGCTCACGGTTTTGTGCAGAAATCAGTGGCCTGTTGGGCTCCTGCCCCAGCTCCCTGTCACCCACCACCAGCAGTGCTGGGTATCTCTGTTGCCCGTGCTGAGCTCTCCAGGCCAGGTCTGGCAACCCCTGGGTAAAGTGCCCAACCAGGGTTCAGCAAAGCAGCCACTGCCCAGTGCCCAGACAGTGAACCCACAGCAGCTTCAGCCTCCCCATCACACCACACACGCAAATGTCTTTGGGGGTGTTTTGGGCTAAGATGCTTGAAGGATTTTATAGCCAGGATGAGGACACAGCTTTGGAAGTGAACAGGAGCTGGGATGCAGAAGGGTCACTTTCCCCAGACTGCCTCCAGTGAGCACAGCCAAATCTGACCCCAGAGAGGAGATCCAGGACTCCCATCCATGCTCTTCCCCAAAGAAGGGGGCAGAAAGGGGCTGGTCAGAGATGTGGGGCAGGAGTGGGATCCTGGGGGTGCATCAGCAGGGTGGGGGCCTGGCTGTGGGGGTCTTACTGGCTGTGCCCAGCTCTGCCCTCCAGCCCCTCCTGCACTGCTCGTAATCCGCCCGCTCTGCTCCCCCGACGCCTCCCAGGCGCTGAACCCTGCCCTGGATGTGCCCCAGAAATGGAAAAGCCATCACGCTGCAGTGCCCCCATGGCTGCTGCAAAGCTTTTAGCAGGAGTGGAGATGCTCTCCCGTCCTGCCCAGCAGCTCTGCAGAGCGGGACGTGAGGCGGGAGCACAGCCAGCCCTGCCCGGGCCAGTGGCACAACATTAAAGCCAGGAGAGGACCAGAGGAGCCCCGGGGCCACGCAGACTTACCAGAGCCCACGCCGAGCTCAGCAGGCAGCAGCAGAGGAGAGTCACAACAGAGCCAGATGCCTCCATGGTGCCACCGTGTCACTCAGATGGGGACTGCAGGGACCAGAATCGCTGCCAGTGGTGGAGAGGGCTGGCGTGTTCAGCAGGACAGAGCATCTTCTGGGAGCACCTTCCTGGCTGCCAGCCCCCCTGAGGTGAGGTGGCAGTGGGGGCACAGCCCGTCCCCAGGAGATCAGGGCTGGGCGAGCTCCCTGTGCCTGTGGGATCCCTATAGGGATCTGCTCACAGGCTCTCCAGGCAGGGGGCTTTCTCCCCCCACCATGCTTGATCCTATTCTCTCTTTGTGTCTTGCCTGCTTTAAGCAGCTCCGGGAGCGTGTGCAAACAATTCCTGTTCGGATGGGGATGGCAGAGGTTTATTGGCTTAGCCCAAGGTGCTAAAATCCTCTTCATTCAAGGCAGATTCCTCTTCTCTTTTCAGAAACTTCTCTCACTGCTCGGTGGCTCATTTTTCAGCTGTCACAGCATTCCCCCACTGCCCCCATGCTCCTAAGTCCCTTCTAGCCCCAGACTGGTCCCAGGTAGCCGGAGGAAGGTGGGGAAAATCCCAGTGAGGTGGCTGGAGGCAGGGAGGCAGAGGGTGCAAGCACGTGAGCAGCACCTCGAGCTGATGCTCCTGCGATGGGATGTCTTTCACATAGACGCCAGTTTAACCCTTTTCCTTCTCCAGGGGCTGGGATGTGTTTTGGGGAGATGTGCTGGGGTCTGTCCTGCTCTCCCAGGCACCCGCAGTGACCTCAGGGCATGTCTGCATTCGGTGTCCTTGGGAGAGGGGCTGGAGGCTCCATCCTGGGGCAGGGGGGTGGAGGGAGCAGCCACCCAGATGGGGTCCCACATCATCACTGGGCATCAGGACAGAGCTGGTCCCACTGCAGCTGTCACCATCCCTGGTCACCTGCATGCCCCTGGCATGGCCCCAGGGCTGTCCCCTGCCTTTCAGGGTCATGCTGATGCCCAGCTTGCTCCCACCACCCAGCCAGTTCCAGCACCCTGTGACCCCCCAGCAGCCTGAGCGTCCCCCTGGGGAAATGGGGCACAGAGAGGGGAGGCCTCTTTCCCCAGGCAGGTTGTCATTAGTGGGATGAGGCTGGAATTCAACAGCCCAGTGCCAAATCCCTGGAACAGCAGCTCCCAGCCTGGGCCCCTCCCCTGGCTCATATAATCCATGTCCAGACACAGCTCTTGCTGCCTCTGTGAGTGCCCCAGTCCTGCACGGAGCAGCAGAGCCCCCGGAGCCTTCCTTGGGGTTTTCCTGGCAAGGCAGCTCATTCTGGTCCCAACCCTGAGCCCTGTGACTTTGTGACAAGGGTCAGAGTCCTGCTGGGCTCCTGGGGGAGGGGAGGCCAAGGGAACACCACAAATCCCGAGGACAGGCTCAGGAGGGGCTGCTGCTCCTGCTGATGGAATCAGACAGCAAAACAAGCCCCACGGTGGCCATCAGCTGGAAATCAAGGAGGGACTGGGGACATTGTCTGCAGCTGCCTGTGTCCACTGCCCAGGCCATGGCGTGGGTGTGACACCAGCTCTGCCAGAGGCTCCTCGGGATGCTGCACGAGCACAGAGGGCGAGCAAGGGACAAACAGTCAGACTGCGCCATGAACGATTTCTGAAGGCTCTGCTGGGTCTAATTTCTGACCCAGAAGCTGCTGGGGAGTGAAGATGGAGTTAAGATGAGGCTATTTTGGAGTTGATGGATGCTGAGGGGGTGGCAGCTCAGGGGCAATTTAATTCCCTTGATTTCCCAGGCGACACCTGACCCAGGCTCCGAGTTCAAACTTAGCAAAACATGTTGAGTTTTTTTGCTAAATGACTCATTATATTCTAGAGAGCTCTGGAAAGCAATGATTGCAAATGACACCCATCCAGCCCCCTCGGCCTCCCAGTCTCTGCTAGCAATGAGGAGATGATGGCACACAGATAATTCCCAGCAGTTTGTGGCTGCTCCCTCCTCCAGAATGACCCCTGTAACTCTTCCTTTGTCCTGGTGCCCCACACATCTTGTCTAAGTTGATGGTTTAGAATGCCTCAGTAAAACCCTCAAGCCCCATATTCTGGGATGCTGAACTTCAATGAGTTCTGTGCCTTTGTGAGTCCTCAGCTGGGAGAGGAGGGTGAGAGCAGGAGCACCTCCCACCAGAGCCTGCCCAGCACCTGGAGAGGAGCCAAATGCAGACTCCATCTGCCCTGCAGGTTTTAGAGGTGCTTCAGATAGGTGGTGCAAAGCTGAGAAATATTTTCACTGATGAATTCAGTTGTGGCTTTGGCCATCATTTTCATTTCCTCATTAGCCACCCTGAGGGAGGTGAGCACCTACACTGGTCTTTTCCAGGGCTCAAACTCAGCCCTTGGGGGAGACTGGGACAAAGCAGACCCTGAGCACGAGGCCAAGGGAGTGCTCAGAGAGTTGTGAGCTCCTTTGAAGCAGCACTTTGTGAATCCTGGTCTCAGCAGGGCTCTGCAGTGCTGGCCCTCGCAGCCTGCCCGCCGGCAGGCGCGTTTCGCCGTGGTATCGTGGCAGGTTTAGCAGCCATCCTGTTGCTATTTTCTTGCCTGGCCCCCATGGCCATTCGCGTTTAGGTTTCAGTGATCACTTAGCAAGCAGCCCCCATGCAGCCCACCCGGTGCAGGTGCTGGAGGGGGACATGTTCCCCCTTGTACAGCTGGGGAGGGGGCGGCTGGTGGCTCCGTGGAGCCAGGAGCCGATGACAATGGGCAATTGTCAAATTGGGGCCCCTCTCGTTTGAGTTTTCTTCCTTTTATAGTAAGTAGCAGTTGCTCCAGCAGCTGGCCTGCCTCTCCAGGGTGAGCACTGGGCTCTGTATAAAAGGGAAGGAGCAGCCTTTGCCTTTCATCCCTCCGTTCTCCTCCCTCGCTGGGCGGCAGGACTCATCCCGCACCTCCGCAAACCCCGGCGCGATGCCGCTCAAGAAACCCGACCCGAGGAAGGAAGCGGCCAAAGCAGCTCCAGGCTCGGAGCCTGCCTTCGACCCCAAGAGCGTGAAGGTGAGTGAGGAATGAAGACACGTCACTGTCTTTCTCCGTGCCTGTCATCAGCCAGGCGATGCAAAGCGCTCTGCGAATGGCATTAGCCAGGCGGGCAGCCAGCCTTGGGAGGGGAAAATTTTCCGATTGTGTGGATGCAGCAGGCTGGGAGGGATGCTGTCCTCAGTGGGGAGATGTCTCAGTGCTGCCCACCCAGCCCTGCCCAGCACCCACTGGAGGGAAGCAGGATGCTGCTCCCAGAGCTGCAGCTGCAGAATCAAACCCCCAGCTCCTGCTGAGACCCCGTGTCAGAGCCTCAGGAGCAATAAAACCCTTCTCTGCCACCCACTGTCTCCATCCTAAAGTATTTTGTTGCCTGTGTTGCTTCCTCCACATAAGAGCATCCTTTATCCAACAGCTCCACAACAGGAACTCACTTTTTCCATGATTCCTCAGCATACTCACACTTTTAAGCCATAGCTGTGGCAGGAGAGTTATTAAGAGCAGACTCAGCATGGAGGCTGTTTAATCACTTGAACTTGGGATCAGGCCCTAAAATAACATCCTTTCCACCCAAAGTAGTCCTGACTGTGGTCTGAGCACCCCTCCTGCCTACCCACCCCGCTGCTGCCAGCTGTGCTCTCCACAGGGATGTCAGAAGGCAGAAGCAGTCGGGGACACAGCACAGCCAGACATGGGACAGGGCATGGATACACCTCCCTGCCCCGAGCCTGGGGAGGGAGAGGTGCAGAGGGGAGAGTTCCTTGGCTCCCTCCAGCAGCAGTCCACATCTCATGCCCAGCTTTGCTTCCTTCTCTTTACAGATTGAATTCACGGCAGAGCAGATTGAAGGTAAGTGCCGAGTTCAGCTTCTCTCAGAGATGGCTTTAGAAATGGGGAATCCTTTTTCCTGCTAGTTTTCACCACAGACATAAGAGCTGAGGCCACACACATTAATTCACCTCCTGGGGGAAAGGCCAGCAGGATCCAGAGCCTGGCAGGGAAAAGGTACTTTTCATCCATGGTGTGAGATGCAGCCTGGGTCAAAGCCAGGGTGTCTGGTGGGAGGAACAGCCTCTGGCGACACAGGGACAGCCCCAGAGAGTGGAGATCTGAGTGGAAAAGGGGATAAGTATGGATGTCCTGCAGCAGAGCCAGCTGCTGAGAGTGCAGGGATCCATCAGGTCACCCAGCCAGCTCTGCAGAGGTGACAAAACCTGCTGGAGCAGCCAAGCGACTCATCTAAGCAGCCTGGCAAACCCCAGCTCGCATTGCGCAAGCTCACTCGGGGCTGCAAGGCATTCCGAGGGCACAACGTGCACGTGTCTGTCCCTTCCCTGCCTGCCAGGCACGACGGGCTTCCCCGGAGAGGGAATGGGGCCACTGCGAGCTCTTCTTCCCCGGAGAGGGAATGGGGCCACTGCGAGCTCTTCTTCCCTGGAGAGGGAATGGGGCCACTGCGAGCTCTTCTTCCCTGCAGAGTTCAGAGAAGCCTTCGGGCTGTTTGACCGGACGCCGGCGGGGACGATGCAGATCAGCTACGGACAGTGCGGGGACGTCCTCCGGGCGCTGGGCCACAACCCCACCAACGCTGAGGTCCTCAAGGTGCTGGGCAAGCCCAAGCCAGAAGGTGACAGCAAGCTGGGGACAGGGTGGGACAAGCAATTCCTGTGCTCCCTGTCAGCCAGTAGAGGGTTACATTCTCTGTAGGAAGAACCCTGGAAGGTGAAGGAAATTATGCAGACAGGCTTCATTCCTGTGTAATTCCTTCACTCCCCTTCCCTGTACAGTGGATGATGACATATGGGATAGGCAGTCCTCACACAGGAATGGTGGCAAGTGATGCTTAGCAGACTTTACCCTGAACTGGTGCAAACTGGTATAACCAGACCAGTCCCAGTGTGACCACATTACTATGGTGACAGATGACCCACCTGATGGTTTAGTTTTGAGCTGGTATCAGGGGTCTCTGTGCAGCCCCCTGAAGTTAATACTTCATCCCTCATATGGATCTTCCCATCTCAAGTCTAATACAATAATTCTGTCTCCTCACTGGGCTTCTCCCCTGCACTCTGATGGAAAAGAGACCAAGAGAGTTAATCAGGAGACCCTCAGAGGCTGAATTCAGCCCCGTGAGGGTTCATCTCTGACCCCATCTCCTCCTCTTCCAGAAATGCACACCAAGATGCTGGACTTTGAGACCTTCCTCCCCATCCTGCAGCACTTCACCCGCAACAAGGAGCAGGGCACCTTCGAGGACTTTGTGGAAGGGCTGCGTGTCTTCGACAAGGAGGGCAACGGGATGGTCATGGGGGCCGAGCTGCGCCATGTGCTGGTCACGCTGGGTACGGCTGCCCCGGGGGGAGCAAGGCATGGCCCCCAGATCTTTCTGGGCAAGTGGCTGCTCTCACATATCAGAGGTTCTTTTCACTCTGCTGCTCACAAGCTCTTTTAGGGGTCATTAGTCCTGAATGTGTGGCCATTTTCCACCCCTGCTTCATGCATGAGCCAGGCGAGACTCCAGGACAGCCTCAGTAATCAGACAACTGTTGCAATGTGCTCCTCTCTCCACCATCTCCCACCAGCATTCCTCAGTAGTGGCACGCAGCTCTTCTCTAATCCCCTTCTCCTCCCTCTGGTGTCTCTGGTTATCTGGAAGAAGGGCAGGTCCTGTCAGGGTGAAAACCCTTCCCCTCACCTCTCCATCCTCCCGTTCCAGGAGAGAAGATGACAGAAAGCGAGGTGGAGCAGCTCATGGCAGGGCAGGAAGATGCCAATGGCTGTATCAACTATGAAGGTAAGGGCAGGAGATTCCCATCGGGGCCACCTCAGACACGGCTCTCTTGTCTTAGGGTGCAAAATGCATCCTCTGAAAGGGCTCTGCTTGGACTTGGTGTTCTTAATGGTCTTTTCTAACCTTAATGATTCCATGATTCTATGACACTGGAAGGGAGGACCAGCCTCCAAAGCCTTTCCAAAAAAGCACTGAGACTTGTCAGCCGGGGTGGGAACAAGGTGGTTGTGCCAGTGATTTCCAGGAAAAGCAGCTGAAGGCAGCATGTTTCCAAGGAGTTCAGGGCTGTTTTATCCACAGTTTTGGCACTGTTTTGTTGCAATCTATTGAAAATAAACAAAGCCAGCATCTTTCCCAGCAGAGGCTAATTGGGAACATTTGGAGACCTGGATCACTTGCTGCTCCAAGAGGGTGAAAATTTGGAATAGGAGGTGGTTAAATTTAGGAAGCCCTAAAATTGGAGAGCAGTGAGGAAAAGAGGGGACCCAGTTCCCTTGGCCTCAGAAAAATGGGGATAATGGTACTGGCTCATCTCCAAGGGTTGGCATCACTGTGACCACGTTGGGGATGGCATGCAAAAAGTGGGAAAAGAAAGAGGAATATTAATCCTGGCACAGCATCCCCTTCATCCCTGGGGGGTCTGGGCTGGGGGTCCCCCCTGCTGCCTCTCCACCTGCTCCTCCCAGCTCAAAGCATGTCCTGACCCCTCCTGCTCTCATTTCTCCTCAGCTTTTGTCAAGCACATCATGTCTGGCTGAAACGAGAAACTTCAGGTGAGTTCAGTGGCGTCTCCTGCTGCTCACTCCAAAATTGGAAATCCTGCAAGTAACAGCCAGGGGCAGGGAAGCCAAATCCCAAACCTGCAGTGGATTAATGCCACAGGAATGATGCCAACTCTGAAGGCACAAAAGTTGTGTTGATGATAAGGAATTTCACTTGTAACTCCTGCCAATTAAAATTTATCAGGACAGCATCCCAGCTGTGATGGTCATTTGTGGTCTGGGTCATTGGGTGGAGTCTCTGCTTGGAAAAAAAGAGGTGGTTGATGGTGCCACGTTTTCTAACCTGCCAGAAGCTGAGGGGGTCAACAGCAGCCAGTGGAAATCAGTATTTTTAAATCTGCATCAGTGAATGACTCGATGCTAAGAAAATATTTAGTACATAGAGAGGAAATTTCTGAACTGAGAAATATTAACATTCCCATTAATGTTACAAAGAATAAGGAAAAAGTACCATGGATGTTTGTTAAACTTTTTCATGTTCCTTCAGATCTTCCTGAGGAAAACAGAGAAACATTGCTAAGGGGATGAGGTTTCTTTGAGGCTGAATTATCCCTCTAAAATCTACTCAATTGTAAAGAAAATCCAAATTGCTGCCTGGCCCCAGCTTCCCCGCCAGTTTCTTATGATTTCATTATCTATTTACCTTTTTAAACATTTCTCCTACCCCTCAGCTATGAAAAAGGAAGGAAGCCAGGGGAAAAAAAAAGAAGTAAAAATGACCTTCAGATAGTGCTAAACACACAAATTAAACATTTAAAAATCCCTCTCCTTCCAAAATCTCTTTAAACATCAGAAGGTTAAAACGCAGACAGACAGAAGTCTGAACTTTGAGTGTTCAGCATCCTTTTCATCTCATTTTAATCCATTTCTCCCTGGTTCCTGTTCATCAGCTCACAATATAGATGGTTGGGTGGCAAACGCTGACAGGAGATTTAATTCTTCACATAACTATTTGCATATAAAACTCTTTTTTAACTGGTGTTGAGTTATAGATTTTGACATTTTGGGTTCATCTGAGAAAGAATATTCTGAATACTCTCATCCCAGAGATTCTTTGCATTCAGACCTCTCCCACTTGTCTCCCAGGCTCTCAGAAATGCTTGAATCCACCTGAGCACCATGAAGAGCAAGATTCCTCCATGCATGTCCTTTCCCTGGGATGTTTTGCCTAAGCCATCGTTGGGCAGCACGTGTGTGTGCCTGAGCCTGGTACTCCGTGACACATCTGCAACTGGGTTTTAAACCTCAAGTTACTCTTTTCAGGTTTTCTCTGTGACATTTGTCTCATTAAATTTCATTCCTTCCTCCCTTAAATGGTTTGTCTGCCTTGGCTTGGGTCACCTTGACATGGTGGGTGGGGGAGACCCCTCGGTCTTCACCAGCTCTCAGGGTATTTCCATGGAGAGGGGGAAAAGGCAGGGGATGCAAAGGAAGAGTTCAGACCTGTAAGTGAGGATCCTTTGGCACTGGGCAGGAGCTGGGCTGCAGCCTGGTCACCTCTTGCTGATGCAGACCTGCAGCCAGGAGAGCACAAGGGGCAGGTCGCATCAAACACACACCCTTTGGTTTTGGGAGGTTCTTCATTTCCTCTCTGCCCTAAAACCAATCCTTTTCCAAAACTGTAGGCCATCCATTCTTCATCACACTGCCCCACAAGCATTCCCTCCAGGTCCAGGCTGAACAGCACTATGGAGCAAAGAGGGACCTGCTGGCCCTGCCACTCTGAGTGACCCACAGGCACTGCTCCTTCATCAATGCACTGCTTGTCCCAGTCAGGAAAGGCCCTTAAAAACCCCAAAACACCAGAAAAGCATGAAAAACATTCTTTGTTCTGTATCAATGAGACATCCAAAAATCTAGTTTTGAAGGTTTTCAGAAAACTGACTCCTGCTGAATCAGCAAGGGAGAAGAAAAATGGGGCAAGAACAGGTATTTCTGGGCCAGGTCCACCCTCATGGCATGGGGTGATGCCCCACGGGGTGTGGGTCGTGTCCTGGAGGGATGGAGCCCAGCCAGGATGGGCTCCTGGACGGTTCTCCTCCAGGCAGATGGTGTGTTCCAGCCAGGAGCTGTCTGGGGGCTGTGTGACACAAGCTGGTGACTCTCTCCCTCTTCCTACCTGCAAAGCAATCTTCAGAGCATCACCGCAAGCGGTGAATAATTCATGACACATAACTCAGCCTTCCCATCAGCAGAACACCTGGGAGCAGCAAACACTTCCCTTTGATTTGTTCCTTATTCCAATGTCCTGACTCTTTGACTAGAAATCGAAGGCACTTTGCTCTGATGTGTTGACTTCAGCTGCCACTCGCTCGTTCCTGTGCAGTGACTGAGCAACAGCTGCCTTCAATTCCCACTGTTTGATTCAACTGCTCATAAAAAGCAACATAAGCTGTTTGTTGATGCAAGATTAGATTTGAGCTCTTCTTTGTGCTATTCCTACAGCTTCCATGGGGCAGGATCCGGGCACCTCGTGTTTTTAATGTTCTATCTGTGCTTTAACCTCCTGGAGGACCGTGGTGACGGGGCCAGAAGGGACCCTGCTTGCTGCACACTCGCTCCAGGGTTTGTCCTTGTCACTGCTGTGGCACTGACTCCTGCAGCACAACGTGCTGTGGCAGAGAGGAACGGAGCAGAGGAGAGGTGGGGACCTGCCTCAGCTCACAGAGGAAATCCCCAGCAGGGTCTGGGCCCCTGGAGCTGTGACATCCCTGCTACAGCCACGATATTCCTGCTGTAGCCACGATATCCCTGCTGTGGCCACGATATTCCTGCTGTGGCCATGATATTCCTGCTGTGGCCACGATATTCCTGCTGTAGCCATGACATTCCTGCTGTAGCCACGATATTCCTGCTACAGCCACCATATTCCTGCTACAGCCATGATATTCCTGCTGTACCCATGATATTCCTGCTGTACCCATGATATCCCTGCTGTAGCCACGATATTCCTGCTGTAGCCATGATATTCCTGCTGTAGCCATGATATTCCTGCTGTAGCCACGATATTCCTGCTACAGCCATGATATTCCTGCTACAGCCATGATATTCCTGCTGTACCCATGATATTCCTGCTGTACCCATGATATCCCTGCTGTAGCCACGATATTCCTGCTGTAGCCATGATATTCCTGCTACAGCCATGATATTCCTGCTACAGCCACGATATTCCTGCTGTGGCCACGATATTCCTGCTGTGGCCACGATATTCCTGCTGTGGCCACGATATTCCTGCTACAGCCATGATATTCCTGCTGTAGCCACGACATTCCTGTACAGCCTCGAGATCCCTACCAACCTTGATATCTCTCCTAGCCGTGCTATTCCTGCTACAGCTGTGACATCCCTGCCCTGCAAGCCAAGGGCACAAGAGTGCCCTGAACTCCCACTCCTCTGTGCACAGCCTTGTGTTTGAGCCCTCAGCTTCCACGGTGAAAGGAGTAACACTAAATTAAAACCAAAGTGAGACCTGCAAAGAGACAGACAGAAAGCAAGCAGTGGGAGATGACAGAACTACAGGAAAATGGTTTTCCGTGGGAAATATCCAGCTTTGAAGCCCCCCTGAGGGAAGAGCCAGCCACACTTCACTTTAGGGACCTGTTGTGAATTTTTAAGATAAAGCAGAGCTGGTTTGTAGCAAAGCAGGTTGGAATGATGCACTTGAACAGGCACAGTATGTATGTCTGTACCTCTGCTTGTGCCTCCTTGCCTCTTCCCCTGGCAAGGCTGCCTCCCTCCCCCTCTGGAAAAGTTGAGGATTCCACAGAGAGAGCAGCTTTAGTCCCATGGACATTTCTAAAAGCATCTGTGGGTGCCAGAGAGTGACCCACAGGCAGAACTGCACTGGAGGACTGAGGAGCCTCTGTAAATCCAGATGTCCAAAGACAACAGCAAACACTGACCTTTTCCAGTTTGGATGCTTTACATGAATTCCAGGGGACTCTGAGGAGAGGCACAAGGAGCCCCCACGCTCCGGAGAGCCTGTATCTCCTCAGGCTGTGATAAGACACATTCTCATACCAAAGAAGGTCTGGATGTCAGTTCTGTGGCCCGGGGAATGGGAGAGACAGATGGAGCCAGCTTTCATCCCCAGGAGGAGTTATCTGCAGTGCACGAGATCAGGAGGAGGGTGAACATGGACTGTGCTCCTTCCTTGGACCACGTACACACACCACCATCATCACCATCAGTGAGGCCAAAGGCCTCCAGAGCAGGAGTCATGTTACTCACACCCTCCTTTTGTCTGGCAAAATGACTTGGATGGACCTGATTAGGAAACCAGGGGTCCATCCCGCTCTGCAGTTAAAATTTGCTATTTGTCTCAGGTGAAGGATTGAAGAAAGCTTTGCCTGCTCACACCCTGAACGCAAACACCCGCAGATTTGCTGCCAATTAACAAATTTCTAACTACACCTTTCAGAAGGCTCTGACCTTGGGGCCTGAGTGCAAGATGGAGCACAGAGTGTGTGTGTGCATCGGGGTGCTGTAACGGCTGATTCAGCAAGCCCACAGAAGGATTTGGAGACCTATTTATTGATAGGTCAGTACATTTAATAAATTGAGGTTTACTCGTGCATCTTTATTTCATTCTTTTGCCAAAGCTCTGTGTGCCAGATGTCGCACCTTCAAACACATCCAAGCTGTAACTGGCAAATTACCTGCCTTGTACTTACACCCTGGTAGGCCAGTTTTACTCCTGGATATGAGGACATCACGAGGAATTTCTTCATTTCTTCATTGTTAAACATTGGAAGGGGCTGTCGAGAGAGTCCCTATGCCCGGAGATGTCCAAGGACTGACTGGACGTGGCACTCAGTGCTCGACAAGGTGGTCACAGGTTGGACTCGATGATCTGGGAGGTCTTTCTCAACCCACATGATCCTGCGATTTTGTGGTTGAACCTATGTGGGGAGCACCTCAGCACGGACCCCTCAGGGACGGGGACAGGACCTGGCCCGTGCTGGCTCAGGACGCACTGGCGATGGCAGGAGGGAGCCCTCGAACCAGCACCCGACACACCTGGGGATGCCCAGAGCCCGTTGTGTGGCACCAAGAGCAAGTTCTGCACTCCACGGGCGCAAAAGCGCTCTGAGGGACGAGCCACAGGCCCCCTCACGCTCGTCCATCTCCGTCCTCGCTCGGCCATCTCCGTCTCTGCTCGGACTTCTCCGTTCTACCTCGGCCATCTCCGTCTCAGCTCGGCCATCTCCGCCCAAGTTCGGCCATCTCCGGCACCGAGTTTCCTCCCGGCTGCCGAGCGCGGCTTTCCCAGCTGTTTTCCGTCGCCGCTCGGCTCTTTCCGCCTGCACCTTCGGGTATTTCCGGCGGACGGTTCGGGTATTTCCGCCGCCGGTTCGGGCGGACTCGGCGCCCGCCGGCCTCGCTCGCTCCGGTAACGGTCGGTGCGGGTTCAAATGAGCCGCGGCCGGGCCGGGCCCCGCCGTGACTCTCTCTGAGCCGGGCCGGGACCGGGGCCACCCCGCTCGGGCTCAGCGACCAGGAGGCGGAGGCCGGGGAGAGCAGGATGACGGTGCTGCAGGAACCCGTCCAGGTACGGACCCCCGGGCGGCTCAGGCCCCAAAGCCTGGCCCGGCCCGGGTTAGGCCGCTCCGGGGCCGGGGCTCCGCGCCGCTCCCGGCGGCTCCTCGGCCGGTGGGCCCGCAGGACCTCCAGCTCCTCCTGCTGCCGGACCCGCCGGGCTTCCCCTTGCCGTGGCCATCCCCGGGCCGGCCGCGCTCGCCCCTGTGCCCCCCGGGCCCCTGAGGGAGCTGTCGGTGTTCGGGCCCCTGAGGGAGCTTCCCGGTTCGGCTCCCGGGAAAGGGCCCCCCGGGAGACCTGTTGATACTTCGCTCACCTTTCTGCGTTCTCTGCCGTGTCGTGTTTAAATGCTCGCAGCGTGCTCGGATCCCTCCGTGCCGTGCGAGTGAAGGACGTTCCTTCTTCCCAAGGAGTTGTGGTGTTTTTTTTGGTTTTTTTTTTATTAATAGGAGACCTAGGAGAGAAAATAATATGAATTCCGTTTTTCTCTCGTGTTTCAGTCTCGCTGCAGTTACTCTGGTGGGTTTCCTGTTCTTGTGCTGAGCCTTCCCATCCAAAAGTCGTGATTTGCAGAATTAAGAACTGCTTTTTCTTTCCGCAGTTCCTGTATGCCCATTCTCTAACTATTTGTAATCTAAATTAATCAGTCGTCTCATTCATGTTCCCATGATTTTTAAAAATATATTTTTAGCGTTTTAACAGGATGTTTTGGGCTTTTTTTTTTTCTAGTTACAGCCGTAATCTAAATTAATCAGTCATCTCATTCATGTTCCCATGCTTTTTTAAAATATATTTTTAGCATTTTAACAGGATGTTTTGGGCTTTTTTTTCTAGTTACAGCAAGAGGTTCCTGGCAGCAGTGTCTTGTTAAAACACAATTGTGTTCTGTAATGAACATAATGAGAATTCTTGCTTTTGGCTCTTTTCTTTCTAATGAAAAGGTGGAAGGGGAAGAAAGGCTCCTGTGGACAACCAACCATCCTGCTGACTTGACCCTGGCTGTGGAAGATGGTGGCAGTGAGGGCACTTTTGTAGACCAGGGGTTTGTGTCCTTGATGCCACCGCTCTCCTCATCCCCTCTGAGAGCAGGGATCAG